CGCGCCTCGCTCAGCCAGTGAGCGGGAACCGGTCTGTATATGGGATCCGAACCCTCGGACAGAAGCGCCGCCGTGCTTCCCAAGCGGCGCACTATCCAGTGCGCCACCGGGCCGGCCCCATCTTACTCATTAAATGAATTGTTTTGTGCTGGATAGGGTCACATCTCGTGAATTGGCTTTTAAGTATTTCATCACGCAGTGATGACCTCAGACCTAAACGAGTGCTTGATTCAGTGAGAACAAAAGAGACAAAATCCATTCTTCTCATGAAGATTTATAATGAAGTGTATTTAATAGTGATGACTTTGTTCTTTCCACAAAATTATAGACAGGAAGTGGGGTTTTCCCCCCCAAAATTTTTTTTCCCAAAGTTTCAAGTATTATTCGCAAGGAATAATTTATATAAATCCTTACTTAAGTGATGTTAACTCCTGGATAGGTAATGGAAACATCTATGGCAAAGTTTAGGACATCTTTGGCTACAGTAAACTGAGAAGCCATTTGTGTCTAAAACTAAAAGTCTTAAATTTCAGATTTGTGAAATTGACATTTCTTGGTAACTTTGTTTATCCTGATTCTTTTCTAACATAATAGAAACAGTTATATTTGAAATGGAGCACTTTAATCAAAGTTTTCTTTGGTAGCCTGTACACAATTGTTGATAGTTCATTCGGTGGTATATTTGGCACCTGTTGGATATGATAAAAGCTGTGATTATGAATAAAATTCCCAAAATTATTGTCTGCTGACATACAGCTATTTTATCCATTATGTACTAGAACATGAATACATCATTGAATTCTCTCCCACCTTAAGTGGAGGAAATGGCCAAAAATTAGGGCATTTGGTGCTAAAATTTATTATGTGATACCAGCATTATAGAGAGATTCTAAAATATACATATGCCTAAATTACGATATATTGATCCTGGCAATACTAGGAATTTTCATAATCTAACTTCCTTTTAATGCAGCTCTTTCTGTATTAATCAAAACTATTTGAGCAAGTTCCAGGTATGTCGTAGTATGATGCAGCGGAAAGAGAAAGGGCTTTGGAGGCAGGCTTACTCAGATTCATCAACCAGTTTTGCTTCTTATCAGCTATGTAACCTAAGTTATGTTGCTGTCCTCGAGCCCCCGTTTTCTACTTTTTAAAATGGGCTATTAAGATACTCATTGCAAAGGCTGATATAGGAATTTAAGGTAATATATGTGAAGTGATTAACAGTGCATAGAACATAAATACTCAACCGTTTTTTATTGTGATTCATCAGCTTTGTGTCAGCCACCACATTCTAGGAGTAAAGTGAAAGGTTCTTTACTCTCTCCTCAAGGATCCTGAAGTCTGGTGAGAAAGTCAATTGAAATACAGTGATAGGGCCGACCCTGTGGCGCACTCAGGAGAGTGCAGCGCTGGGAGCGCAGCAGCGCTCCCACCTCGGGTTCGGATCCTATGTAGGGAGGACTGGTGCGCTCACAGCTCTCACTGGCTGAGCGTGGTGCGGCCGGTCTCAAAAAGGACAAAAAAAAAAAAAAAAGAAATACAGTGATAGATAAAAAGTACTGTGGAAGCCCAGAAGAATGGGATTAAGCTGAGACACCCAGTGCATAATAATATCCTTAGTTTAGGGGCTAACAGAACAAGCTTGGCAGCCACACTGCCTGGATTCAAATCCTGCTGTACTGCCATTTACCCTGGACAAATTGCTTAATCTGTCTATCTCACTTTTCTCATCTGTAAAATGGGTATAATGGTATCATATGGCATTGTAAGGATTAAGTGTGTTAATGATGTAAAGCCCTTAGAAAAGTACCTAAGAAGTCCAAGCACTCAATAAATGTTAGTTCTCATTATTCCTGGAGAAAATGCAAGTACCTTTGATTTAATGAAGCAAAAAATATTTATTCTTTGGCACTCATCTGTGCCTATGTCCTAACTGCTAAAAATCCACTTCCTATACTAGCTACTCTTCTTTATATTTAATTTTATGTAGTCAATATTTAACATAAATTGAAAGATCAATTTGGCCCTGTAGGAGTTTTTTCTAGGAAACTTTTAATACTTATATTTGTACATATTTGATTTAAAGTGAAAAGGAATTTATTAATTAGTTATTTTATTGTTAACATTTAAACTAATAAATAAAACTCGTAGTTGAAAGAAAATCTCAAAACAACTGCATAGTTGTTTTAATTCTTATCTTCTTTTCAGTATATTTAGTTAACACTTGAAAAAAAGAATAAATATGCATATCTAATAACAAACTTATTGAGAATGTTCAACATAGAATGAGGTGTTCATTCTATATAGAGATTAGAATGAGAAATAAAAATAAAAATTAGAATGAGAAATTCTAATTTTTATCTATTCTGATTTACATATCTTGTATACTTTAAATTCATTTCCATTTCAACATGAGTTGGAACCTGATAATAAAGGAAAAAATTATAACTCAGAGTTGTGAGGGTCACATGAGAAAATATAAGAAATGGCAGATGTAATGCTGTGCAAATGATATTGTCATCACACGTTTAAAAGAGATGAAATGGCATAAAGCATTTGAATTGGATGAGAAAAACAAAAATGAGTCATTGAATCCAAGTGTTACTAACAAAAGAAAACTCGAATTCTAATTTAGTCATGGCCTTGTTTTTAAAAGACAATATATGACAAATATTGTTTGAACAATGAGGCTTTTCTTTCACAGTTCAAAAATGAAATTATATAAATTAATTCACTTATAAACGGTTCAGCCAACAGCCACACAAGGGCAGAGTACTTCTGCAGGAGAAAAGTGGATGAAGTGCTCAAAAGCAGCTTGTGGTTTCCTTGCATTTTTACATGAAATTGTCTTTTAGTATTCTTAAAATGTGGGAATGTTTGGAAAAGGTATTTGTTGTGAATCACTTCTTTGTCTGGGACTGAAGATCCAAAACATCTGAATCTGTGCTCTCAAATTTCCATACTTGATTTTCTTTCTAAAATATGTCACATGGCCCCACAGCTTTGGTCTCTCATAAAATAAAATACAAGTAATGAATTTTAGGTTGAGAATAAAAGCACATCAACCTATAAATGTATTTGTGAATTTAATAGAATGTTTGCTAAAGATGTGAGCACTTTCTATATAATATCCATAAAGATTTTAGAACCCTAGTAATTACTGAAATAATAAGGCTCTTACTTCACTCATTGTGAGCACTTTCTATATAATATCCATAAAGATTTTAGAACCCTAGTAATTACTGAAATAATCTTAAGGCTCTTACTTCACTCATACCTTAGAAAACAGCCACCAAATGACCAAGAATCTACTGAGTGGGATTAAATTCCTGCAGATCCACTGGATTTATCCTTTTTCTTAGGTGATAAAAAAAATATATCTGGGGCATTAGCCATAAGTAATACTGCTATAAACAAAAGGACAGCTTGGTTTGCTGTGAGCAGATTGAACAGCCTAAGAGGAATATGAGATTCAGTTTATAGACACATTAGAATATTTGCCTAACCTCCTTCTGAACAGTCTAGTACTGATCAGGAAACTCATATCTTGCTTTGCAGTGTAAGCAAGGCTTAAAGCAGAACACCACATATCAATGGGTGATAAAATTAAATTGTTCTTTGGATTATGTATGGAAGTCCTTTTTTCCCCTCTCTTTATAGATTCCAAATCCTCTATTTGATCTAGCTGGAATAACATGTGGACACTTTCTTGTACCTTTTTGGACCTTCTTCGGCGCAACCCTGATTGGAAAAGCAATAATTAAAATGCATATCCAGGTAATTATACCCCTTGATTCACTGCCTAATGATGATGAATCCATTACAAGGCACTGAAATATATGCTCATGCCTAAGCAAATTGTTAAGTTACTGTTTCTGCTTCTTTTGGTTGGTAGCTTACTTAGCTAATAAAGCATGGAATGTCGTTTGAAGGTTAATCAAATCTCCTTGTTTTCTTTCTTACCTCCCTCCCTCCTTTCCTTCCTCCTTCCTTCCTTCCTTCCCTCCCCCCTCCTTTCTTTCTTTCTCTTTCTCCCTCTCTCCTTCTCTCCCTCTCCTCTCCCTCTTTCTTCTCCCTCGCTCCTTCTCTCCCTCTCTCCTCTCCCTCTCTCCTTCTCTCCCTCGCTCCTTCTCTCCCTCGCTCCTTCTCTCCCTCGCTCCTTCTCTCCCTCGCTCCTCTCCCTCGCTCCTTCTTTCCCTCTCTGCTCTCCCTCTCTCCTTCTCTCCCTCGCTCCTTCTCTCCCTCGCTCCTCTCCCTCGCTCCTTCTTTCCCTCTCTGCTCTCCCTCTCTCCTTCTCTCCCTCGCTCCTTCTCTCCCTCTCCCTCTCCTCTCCCTCGCTCCTTCTCTCCCTCGCTCCTTCTCTCCCTCTCTCCTTCTCTCCCTTGCTCCCTCCTTCCCTGCCTGTGAAATTATTTTTCCAAGACATCTACCAAACAAAAATAGTGTTTCTGTGCAGGAAGATGCACATCATTTTCACATACATAGTCCCCCAAAATGTTCTTTCTTTACTGGCCACAAGCTGAGAGAGCATTGCCTTTCACTAATTCTTATTTTCTTTCAGATATTCTATATAGCACTTCCTCTCATGGCACTGATATCCTTTACCGAAAATAAGCCAGATGTTAGTGTGGGGAAGAAAGGAGACTCTGAAGAGGCGAGGAGATGTGGGTTGTGGTTAGAGAAGTGAGAATCTGCTAGTTTTCAAAACCACTCGGAACAAAATCCTAGGATAGGTGTG